TATAATATTTGGATGAAGCCCACCAGCGGTTTACTAACTATTTCGGTGTGTCCATCAGTGCCTCCTCCATATGTAAAATTCTACATGCATACGGAATGTCCTGGAAAGCCCAAACCAGTGAATAATTGAAGTAATTGATTCTGGATGTAAGTCGAATGTAAGTGGTTTTATTACAAAGAATAAAGTGAAAAAAAGAAACAAAACAGCTATTTAAACGATTATTCAAAATCCGAACTCGTCGTCCATCATCCAAAGTCATCATATCGTTGATTCTTGAAGGTATAACAAACCATACAGCTACACTCCAATCAATCTGCATGATCGACGTCAGCCAAATCGGTCACTCGAGAGGCGAGACTACGGCTGAATTCTGTTTCTTCAAGTGGAAAAGAAGTTTGCATTGCATCCAAGATCGTTGCACCTTGAGTTGCAAACTTCCGCCTTCAACACGTGCACCTGAATTTGAATATCAGATACATCTTTTACCAAGGAATCAACTTTCTCACATAACTTGTTTACTGTCACCAGCAGATTGTCATTGATGTTGTATGCAATCTTCAGCCCTTTGCGAGTAACTTGAAGTTGGTTAGCTTCAGACACGGCTGGTACTCGGAACAAGTAAAGATAATCGTCTGGTGGGGCCTCAGTCATCAGCTTGTCTCTCTGATCATCAGGCTGTGCCAAGATGAAATTAGCCCATTTTTCCCACGATGACCACAGAGCTGTGCAATGCGAGTGTGTATCTTTCAAGTGGTTCACACAATCGAAAAGTTCCTCCGTCGATGGCGCTCCAGTCCTATCTTTACTTCCTGAATGTAGCAATTGTTTGTTGACGATTTTCCACAGAGTGGGACTTTATCAAAGTAGAGTACTTGACAATGTGTACCTGTATTTCCTTTCCTCGCCAACTTGGTAGCAGCTTAGAGTTCTCTTATATCTCGTCCATCGTGTACATCTCCTTAGTCTTTCCGTGCTTCAATAGAACAAATTTTGCCAAATCAGTTATGTCAGAAGAATCTTTGCAGGACCATTTTACAAGCTTCTCAGTGTTTACTGACTCAACAACTACCTCTCGGGAGATATAATGCTCAACATTTTCCCAAAGCCACTTGAGTAAGCCCGTCATGGAGCTACCAAATATGTTCTTTGAACACACAGGGTCTGCCAGATGCTGCGTCTTAAAAGATCGGAAAACAGTATTCCGGTGATGTGAAACTGAGCATTTTTAAACTCGTTATTATATTAACATTCATTTGTGATCTGTCTTCGGCAACCCCATGATTACTTGAACCATGCTCGGAGCCAGGTGCAATGCTAGCATCCTGGGGACCTTCAGATGTTATATCGTCGTGGGTTTAGTTGGGTGTTCCATCTTCAAAACTCGGCGATTTCTGATCCAGGAACTCAACATCCACGAAATTTGTGTCGTCAGGGTCATTGCTGAGTTCATCCTTTTAGGAAGTCTGCTCGTTTCTTTCAGCTCGCTCATCACACTTGCTGCAATCAGGAAAATTCAATTTAATGCGTGCTGATTAATCAAAATTGTATATATCATATAATCAAAATTATATCAGATAATTTCACATAAAATTTCTCAGAGCGAAACACAAAACAGAATCTGATCGTGAAATTTGATTTTGTTTTGAATGTGAGTTGACAGCTGAGAGAATTTTAACGGGGGGTAATTGGATATTAAACGTGCATCACCCTTCTACTGAAAAAAAAAAATTGTCGGTGGATTTTCCCTTTGAATCCAGCTTCCAAAAAAAGTTACAATATTGTAAATAAAACTGAACCATCCTCACAAGTGCAAAACTTGTATAGTAGTGCGCGATTAACTTGTATGATTTTTATTAGAGTCGGTGTATAATGAGTCACGCCAAGAGTGAAGCCAAGTCTACCTATTGAACTGTCAAACCGGCTACCTGTCGCGCATAGTACACAAACATTACGATGCTATGAAAGATCAACGAAAGGTATTGCAATAAAATATAAAATATAATCGAAGAAATGCTCATAAACACGCAGTGAGCAATAAATTGTCATGGGATACGTTTGGTAATGATCACTTATGAGAATTTCTACTATTTTTGGTTAAGATAATTTGACTAAATCACTGATATAATGATTTACTAAAGCCGCTATATTTTTTTCTCGCTGGAAGTCATTTGAAGTTGATGAAGAAGTCCTCTGTTGCAAAGTGAAAAGAAAGGGAATCTTTCGAAAACCGTGATGCGAGTTCAACTGTTTTTCTCTTGGCGTGACTCATTATACACCGACTCTAGTTTGGATGCGTTCGGCAAGCAAGAAATAAGCTTCGTGCGCCAAAGATAATAGATAAACGATTTTGACAGAATTTACACCTACTAGAACGTGTATTCGTATTTTTTTTGGGTTATTTGGGTTATTTTTTTTTAACTGTTTTATCACACAACATTCATGGCATCTTTTTGGACTATAATGGGGTGCAAATAATAATAAAATAAAAATGTGTGACGAAGTAGTGTCATGTTTTGAACGCTTATAACATGGTCATTTATTATTGAAATTCAATCTCAATTACATAATTTAAATCAGGTTGAATGCAAGATTTTTAATGTGTGTGTTTAGCCATAATCAACCAATCACGTGCTCGCTCGCTATGATTATCGAGAGAACAGACGAGCTGGTACCACTCAATACTCAATATCATTTTTTGTCTGCTTTTTTTATTCATTCACCTAGATAGCAAGTACAGCAAAAGGGGGACATAGAATGCTAATCTCAATGCTTAAGTAAGAGAAACGTAGAAAGTTTGAATGCAGTCTTCGTTTGAATGCCGAATGATAAACAGGAGCGTTCGTTGCGTTGTACACTGAAATCGAATCTTACTCAGAGAGTGAGTCACTTTTACCCATTTGTATGAATAAATCTTTAAAAGCGTAAGTTACTCATCAGCGTATGAGTAATAAATAAAATTTTCCATTCGAATGAGTGAAAGTGACGCACAAATGAGTAAATGTTAATCACAGTTAGTTTCGTTTTCAGTCTAAAACAAAACGAACACCCCTGTTTATCACTCGGCAGTCAAACGTTGACTATCAACTGCTTATACAAACCCACCCAAACCATCGGCCCTTTTCAGGGCCACCACAACTTCCTACAAAAGAGTTGAGTTATGAAATGCACTTTATTCCAAAGCAATATCCAATTTGAATCAAACAAACTAGAAAATCGAACAACAATTTTGTAGTCCTACGTCAACAATGTGGTCGTGTCTTGTACACCACCCTCTAACTCTTTTTGCCTTATTTTTGATGGATTTGATTTGATCAAATATTCGACGTCAGTAACTGAATTATTTTGGGTTCATGTTAATTTTTAATCTTTTCATTCACTCGCAATCAATTAAGGAATAAAATGACTACCAATAGTATTTGAATTTATTTTTATAAAAAGATTCGGCATATTGGCTGGGTGGAAAAAAAACTATGTTATATACTGTATGAAGATGATTTACAACTTTCTAGAACGAATCGGTTTAAGAACTTAGGATTCTTTAGTAGTTTTTTTTTCAATTAATGTGTAAGACCTCTCACCGTTCTCGCAAGATAGGCTCTGTGTTATGTTTCGTTTCAGTTGTCCTTCAGATTCAGAGCACTTGCCCGCCACTGCTGTGCTTCCTCCACGTTCATTCACCGATGCAACGACAACGGAGATTAAAACGACAATTGCCCCCATGTATCTTGTCTCAAGTCTACGTCCTACCTGTTTAAAAATTGTTGTCCTTAACCTCGAGTAAGCCGCTGGTAATTGGTCCCCGTTCTACTAACCTTAGTTATAAGAAATATTCGAAATACATATATTGAATTACGGCTCCGTAAAGCTAACGCACTTAAGCCTTGACAAATAAATAAATTTATAAAAAAATAGAGTCAATCAAGACGCTGAAAATAAAAATTAATTCATCAACTTTAGTGAACTTACTTCACAAAAAATCCCTGATTGGTGTTATAATTCCCTGATGATTCCATTATTTTCCAGGTGATTTGGTATTCCCTGATGATTTTCAGATTATCCATGCTTTTACTGGTAGTTGCCATCCTGTTGAACTCCAATTTGCTATTTTAAACTTATTTGTTTCATTTGCAAACATCAACTGAATGTTAGTGAACGTGATTATCTAACCGCAAATATTTGCCATAGAAACCAATCGCACATTACCGCCAAAAAACAGATTTGATGCTGATTTTCAAGCATAATTGCTTATTTTCCGCGAGCCCGGGAAATCCCGTTTCCAATTCCCGATTCCCTGGTAGTTGATTCCCGGGAAATTTTAAACTTCAATATTTACACAAACATTAAAATCTGGCATCCCTGTTCGAGCCACTAGGGGACCGTCTTCTACAGCGAGAGAGATGATGTTGGTCATGGTGCGCGATGCTACTTGTTCTAGCATAAGGAAATGGAAATAAGCGACAGCTCAAGATATCCATTTTTTCTCCCGGGGATTTTATCATATTCAAACACTCCATTATTCTACTTTTATTAAAATGTAATTTCCAGACGTTAGGCGCCTGAGGATGGCACCCGTTGCTCCTCTGTGAATGACAATAGATTTAAAACGTTCTGGTGCTTGCAGTTCATGGTTTCATTTTGATGCAAATTAAATTTAAAAGTAATTGTTGGCAGGATCAACTTATTTGAAATTGCTTTACATCAATCAAATCAATTGGCACAAACAACGAATCCGAATTCGTTCGAACGGCACACAATCATCCATTTGACCTTACATTCTAAGAACGCACCCCGCTCTCAACGGTCATTGTTTAATCGTTCAACCAACAGGAAATGATATCTCTCACACCAACCGTTACTCATCTTATCACCGATCTGCAGTTGACCTAAAAACAATCGTCATCCTTGTCCCCCAACAGTCGTCCGTTCGGATCACCGTTCTCGATGAGTGAGTACCTTTCTCTCTCTCAGCGTTTGTCCACCGAGCAAGGCTCAATGCCCTATAAGCGGCGATCTCGATCTCTCGATCAGTTGGCAAAATCAAAGCTGTAACCAACTTCGGGGAAGAGCATTAACAGCGTGACCGCACCCGAAAGTGACCTGAAGGTGACAGTGGAAGGCCTGTTGATTGATGTTACGTGATTTTAATAATAGATTTGCATGCTTAGTTGTGAAATGAAGTGCAGTAGTGATCGTGAAGAAAAATGACAAATTGGTGCTATTTTGTCAACCCGAAGATCCCCAAGCAGTGAAAGAGGTTTCCAGAAAACGGCTCCCTTCAAATAAAGGTAAGGGGTACCAGTATCGTCCACCAATACAGTGATGTGTCCTACACGACGATCGCATCGCGTTGGCAGTTTGTTTTTGATTTGATCTTAGGTTGATGACCTCTGGTCAGGGTTCGATGAACTCGCCTGTTGTGTTTTGCTTGTGAAATTTCAAACAATTGCAGCTACAATAAGTAACATATCTGCTGGAGATGATTAGTCTGTCTGGATATCGAGTGCGATAAAGTGTCGTGTGTGGACTTTGATAGTTTAGCTACAGGAAAGATAGTTCATTCTTGACCAGACTTGATAAAAAGTTGGAGTTTGGAGAAAAATAATTGCATGAAGAAAGTGGAATTGGTTTTAAAGTTTTGTTTAACTGTGTGAAGTATTGTTAGGCTAAAAACCATCGCATTTAAGGTATGATGCACGATTGGGGATTTCTATGCAAAATGCAATGTGTGTGACCATGATGAAGTTTATTTTTTCATTACTAAAGGATCCTGTGTCGTCTGGGATGGTATAAAATCATTTGAAGTAAGGTCATGATCCATCTGAATTTAGTTAACCATGATAATTCGAATTTCATTGTTTTCCAACTTGCCAAAGTAAGAGGGATATGAATGTTCATTTATATTAAACTGGACGAGGTGAAAAATGGTTCTTGAAATACTTAAAGGTGATTTGGTCCGAATACGAATTGATTTAAAATTAAGTAAGATATTGAAGTGATACTATTTAATAAACAATTTGGACAATACCAAAAACGGAGATCGAGGAACAACATAGACAAAGACCCATCCTACGATTGACAAACTCTCTATGTGGCACAACATGACTGTTGGTGACTCTGTCCAGATGCGACAACCATTCTGCAACAAATTGCGAATAGGACAGCTGTTTATCCATGCCAACAACTGATTTAGTAACTTTTTATCATTGAATATGTAGAACATAGGCATCAGGTGCGGTAGCAGGTCACTTTTCAGTGTCTAGATCACCATTTTCTAGTGAGGGACTAAAAAGCCACGTTTTCACCCAAAAGTCACTAAAGTCACTATTTCTTAAAATGCTGCCTTTGACAAATCACATCAAATCCCAGCTTGATTTGGTACCAAGTTTGTGGTAAAAAGATTCAGATTCAAATCAGCGTGTAAAGAATTGCGAATACCCAGAACTGTTCAATTGGTGTTGATGGAATCTCTAATAATTTGCTATCTTCACCTCCGTGCTCTAGGCATTCAAGTCTGTACCTTCAACATTTTTCATTATTTTTTTAGACCTGTAAACTTACGTTATATATGTTCAAAATTTAAAAAAATATTCCATGTCGCACAATTTTATGAATTTGGTTGTCTTAGAGGTGTAAAATTTGTTAGTCCAAGCATTGAAAAATTTTATTCTGGAATCTTATATTATTTTTTTTTCGAGAGATTCTCAAACCTTGGGTTTCTTCGTTTCAAAATAATGAATCGAAAATAAAATTTCTAGTAAATTGTTTGTCGTCATGAATCAAGTCAGATAAATGACTACATAATATGTAAATGGACAATGTAGTTGGTTATTGAATTGAGACAATTATTATTTAATAACCTAACAATAATTAAACAAACAATAATTTCTCGACATCAAATGTATGGGATCCTTAAACCGTTATTTTATTTATTTTACACGAGCATGAAAAATACTAGGTAGTGATTGTGAGTTCATAAAAAGTATGACAATGGGTCACAGTCAACGAAAGATTGGAACACTTTTTTAAATTAATAATTGACATTATTAATCACTTTTTAATTGTTTTAAAGTCACTATTTGGCCGCTTTTTTCGTTATTTTAGTCACTTTTATATAACATACCCACTAACAGTCCTGGGAGGTAGCCAGTGAGTGGCGAGATTTTAGGCATAAGTAGCATAGGCATAAGTACGGTTGCCATCCGTATGTTAGGCATACAGACTTTAAGCATGACAAACATAAGGCACAATGGATGGTTGGCATACTTTTGAACAAGTGAAGTGGACAGTAGGCATACTGTTGTTATGGCAAATAAAATGAACGGTAGGTAATAGTGCGAAAATTTTATTTCATTGTTCATGTGAAGAAAGAGATATATTAAGAACCGGACCATGTTATTTTTCACATTGTGCATATTTAGAACACTCAAACGTATACTTTAAAAATGTAGATGTGATGCCTTCTTTCTAGCAGGAGCTGTTTTGTTGTTGTTTTAATATTGTTTGTCCACGTTTTTTCAACTCAAATGATAAGAACTCAATACTCAAAGAGTATGCTTAAAAAAAGAAGATAAGATTCCCAGGCATGGAGAACCATTAACTTTCATTTGCCTCTTACTTTTTGCATCAACAGAATTTCGTAAAATGATGTGTAATTTTTTTAGGTTTCATGCTTAATTACAACTTTTGTGAAAAACTCAAATATTTATCTCTTATACATGATGAACCATAGCGAACAGAACCCACAATTGTTTGTCAGTGAATGTAAATTATATTCACTGAATAACAGTAACATGTTCTGCCCACTTTAGTTCGTCATGTATAAGAGATAAAGATTAGAGTTTTTCACAAATGTGTTCATTGCATTCTACATGCCCACCGAAACACAGTGAACACATTTTCATTGACAGAATCTCGGTTTTAAACGAATCAACTGTTATTGAATTTCCAAAAAAAATAATGACGTCGTCTTTTCCCTTAAGAACAATCCAACACGTTGTTGAACTATTGAGATATTTATTTTTTTGTACAGTCCGAAAGAAGGTAATCATTGTAGTTGAAGTATGATTTGAACTATGGGCAGCGTAAGGAACGAAACGGGCTTGATAATTTGGTAAATTTTTGCCAGTGCACTCAGCTATATTTATTTATTTGCCGTCAATCAGTGTAGATCGTTTTACAATTCTTACTTAAACGCGAGTTGTTCCACTTTTATTTCCAGTGCTTGCATCCAGGGGTTGAAACAGATGACGTTTTTTACTACACTCGCTTCGTTGTCGTGCGCGACAGTCTGTTTTTATTTGAGCACTCATGCTCTACCGTCGTCTCTCTCACACAACACGAGCGGTAGAATAACATTCGAGCTAAAAGAAAATTATCAAAATAGCTATCATATGACATGTGTGATTTCGTTGTAAATCCTCAATTTGGTGTAAATCAAACCATTTCTGATCAGAAATATTATTACTAGGACATCATTGCTTGCTATTTTCAGAATTCACACAAGCACACCATCAGCAGCTCTTATTATGAGAAAAACTAAAATACATACATTTGTGACGGTCTTCGACGACGGAGTCGTATGACAGAGCCTGTCATATGACATTTTAGTTTGGTACTGTACTATGATAGCTTGTTTTGCAAGTGTCGGAGGCAAAATCAGTCAATTATCACAGAAAATGTGTCAACTACCGTGACCGTTTACAAGACTTCTTGCATCTATATTTTATTATTGATGACTAGCTAACCTCGCAAAGAAAGTTTTTTTTTATTGTTATATCAATGGATTCACAATATGTATAATAGCAAGACATCATTCTATTCAATTGGCCATTTTAGGCATAATCTGTTCTTGGATGTTAAAGCTAAAAAAAATTCTATTAAGCAGTGAGCAAGTAGGAGCATAACAATTGATAATCTCTGTGTTGTTAGCTCTTTGCGAAAATACATCTTTTATAAAAGCATTCATTGCGAATTCTCAATGCTTTATGAGCTCATCTAAATTAATAATCATACAGCGCGATTCAAAAGAAGGAAGCGGAAATCCGACGCCTTGCAGTTTTCACAAAAAAAACTATGACAGCCCTATGGGGTTGTACGCAATGGTGACGTAGGACTACGTGGTCTTATATAATAAATATTATTTGTGAACTGCAGCAGGAGCTTGTGTTTTGTGTAGAAGTAGGAATTAGAGCGGGGTTCTCTCTGTTCATATTCTTTAGTATGACTATGATTGTCGTGAAAATAACCTTTTGATATGAATTTTAGTTGGGGCATGTTCAGGAATTCAATTCTTTTGAAAAATCTTGGTGACCGATAGTAGTTATTTACAGGATTAAAGCCTTTGGAAGATGACGTGTAGGCAGCAGAATTAGCAAATCGGACCGGACAATCCCATATTCTTCGGTTCAATGGTTGGGTACTCGCAAGAGTCTAGGCCCGTCTGCTGCTGGACAGGTTGGAAGCTAAAGCTCCTCCCCTTTTTAGTTTTTCTCGTTTCTCTCGTTTCTCCTTCTCTCAACAAGTTGGTAAATCTTAGCCTTTAACAGAAAGACGCTAAACACTTTTCTGGACGAATTTATGATCTGGTTCTTATCTATGCCTCTTCAGATGAATTAGTACTTTTATTTATTTTCTCTACTGCGCTAAATCGAACGAGTAGAAATAAGAATGAATGTCGGTTACGCGTTCGAAAAATTGAAAATTCTTAAAATATTGAATCCAATAGCTAGAAAAATCTGTACGATTAATCATTAATCGAATAATTGCAACCGAACAGCAGAAATGCAACCAGCACGTGTACCGCAAGAACCAAAAGCGGTGCGATGCTAGTTTTCATTGCTATGACGTCGACTGAATTAAGGGGCTTACAAGCAGAGGGGTGAAAGTCAATTCGCTTCATCGATTTCCTCTTCTATTATCCAGAACAACAAACGTATCAATGATTGTGTTTGTCGTCGACTTATTAACGAAACAGAAAGTCGATGAAGAGAATCGATCAAAATCACTTACACCCCTGCTTCCAAGTTTGGTTACAAGATTGCAACTCTGGAGAGCATTAAAATTTTGTGTGGTCATTGGGGCCGTGTGGTTCTGAATATGGTGATTAGTGTGCAAAATGTGCCGCTATTGCATCCTCCCTATTTGCACACGCCCGAAGATCGTAGACGAATGCCACTTCGACATGTTTCGTCTAGAAACGATTCTCTGATGACTGTGTTGGGGAAGCAGCATATGCATGTACGTAATTAGTGGATCTGTTAGTTATTTCGACGCTTGACTTTTACCA